TCGGAGTCGGGGAAGAAGTCTGCATACGGGTAGACGCTGAGCGCTCGGGGATCGGCTAGGGTCATAAGAGTCCGCAATGTTGTATGGCATTTTATGTTTTATAATTTCTACTTGGTCATTGTGCATGTTACTTTAGTAAAGACCTTCTGTCAAAGTTTAAGTTTTTATATTGTTTTGCTTTGGCTTGTACACTAGTTTTATTTTGTTGATTGTGTTTTGAAATGAGGCAAGGCAGGAGATGGTACGCGAGGGTAATTCAGTGTTGCTGCCTGTATGACCAATGTTCTCCCGCCATCCCACTTTTCGTTTGGTTTGAAATGTTCGATAAGATCTTAAAATTTTGTGCATGTGTGGAATGAAAGCGTAATGAAATGTGTGTATACTTTGTTTGATTGTGCCAAGAGTGGACAGTGCAGGTGAAGTGTGTGATGTGCTCGCATGGTAGTAAACCTTCCGCATTCATGACTGAACGCCGCGTGCCAATCTCTCCTGGTCTCACCACATCACCACCATTAGCGCGAAAGCCTCCAAGTCCTTAGGATATCTACGCCGTAATTTACATAGCTGTCCCGCTCACGTCTGTCAACTAGCCTATCAAACCTTTGTCCGTCCCCAGCTTGAATTTGCCGCTCCTATCTGGTCCCCTTATCACAACTACTTAATTAACATGCTTGAAGCTATTCAGAATAGGGCGGCCCGTTTCATTTCACGCAATCATGACTATCACAGCAGCATAACGCAAATTAAAAACAATCTTTCTCTTCAACCCCTGAGCACTCGTCGCGACATTTCCCTTCTTTGCCTCTTTCACAAATACGTGTACACCAACAGACCCCTCCCACTCCACCTCGATGTTCCTTTCATTACTTCACGTAGGTTGCATAATCACTTCAGTTTCAAGCGATTATACGGGGCAACTGATTCATTCAACTCATCTGCTCTTCCTCGCGCCATACGTTTGTGGAATGGTCTTCCAGATAACATCGCATCTGTATCAGACAATAATTCTTTCCGTCAGTTGCTGCTTACTCTCTTCTCACAATAGACTTGCCACTGTTCTGCACGTGTCGTATTTTGTGCCCGATTATGTTTGTTGCACACTTGAAATGTTTTCTGTATATGGGCATGGTTTCTGCGTTTTTTTTTTGTGCTTTTTCTATTGTATGTTCTGCAACCTATGGACAGATAACGGCACGTCGTTGAGGTGGGGCCAGCTGGCTATCTTTGGTTGATGTCGCCTTCATGTGCTATAATGACTGTATTTGGTTCCCACTGTCGTGTGTGCACTGTGAAATCGCCTTTTCTTTTTTCTTGGTGTCGCCTGTTGACTTCGGCTTATATTACGGTCCGCGTCATACTTTCATTGTGCTGATACGCTTTGTAACGCGTGAATTATTTTGTGTGATCTGTGGAACTTCACCAATTACCCCCCTTACTCAATGCCCTGTAAAGGGCCTGTAAGGATTTTTCAATAAATAAATAAATAAACCATCTGACGAGCAGCTGTGACCAGTGTGCGTTTTGTCCACGCGTCATCCACGAGTTTCTGCAGTGATTCTGAGGGTTTCAAGTGTGTTGTGCGCGGTAGAAATACGGAATCAAACTGCTTCGTGGTGGGTGATGATTCAGCGACAGTCACAGATTGGTTCCTCTCAGCGACGCGCTGCCGCCAGGGCTGAATCACAAGTGTGCTGTGTTCGCATATCGTATTCCTAAGACTGCCCCAATGTCTCAAATTCGCTGCGCAACCCGAAGGCGTTATGCGCCCGCAATTCTCGTGTTTGAATTTCCTTGCTGGGAAAATTCTGCAAGATGAAGGGATTGTGACGTCCCCGCAAACACGGACTGAACCCCGCTCCTTTCAAGATGTGTACGCTCGTTTCTCAAACCCACGCATGAAAAAAAGGAAAAGGAAACCTTCGGTGTAATAAATGGGCATTGCGGAGTAGAGCACCGGAAGGATTATTTCTACTATTCTCGCGGGCTCCCCTCGTGCAAACACGAGGACCGGGCGACGCCTTGTCGTCTACAGACCGTGTGACAGTATACGGTGGAGATAATCCGGGCGCACCCTCCAGATTAATGGCCTGGGGGAGCAGCAGAGCACCTTTTGTTGGTTCGGGGAATGCGACCTTTGCCGCAGCGCCTGTGCCCGTTCCGGTCTGACTTCTGTCAGCCTCCGTGGCTCCAGGACGCATTACTGCGTTCTGCGCGGATGGCCGCCCGCGGCGGAGAACGACGAAGAAGCGGCGGCTACGGAGGATTTCGCGGGAGACACCGAGCGTCATGGAAACGTTGAGACTTGGTCTGAACATCGGCTCACCAAGTAGCGGAAGCATCGGGACCATTGTTCGCCCGTAATTGAAGTGTCTTCGGACGGCTCGCCCATCATTCTCCCTGAGGCTTGAGTTTGTACATTGTTACTTGCTCGGCTTTGTTTGGGAGAGGGCTTTCTACTGGTGTAGGCCGCGGGGGCGGCCGCCGAAGATGATACACTCGGACTGAGAAGAAAAGATATGCCACGTGGAGTGGCGACTGGTTTGGTGCCCAGGTAGGGCGGAGTCGGGTCCTACAAAAAGGGACTACCAGACGATACGAAAGGGGCAGGGGCGAGATACGATGCGAAGAGAGTCAGAGATACAATGCGGAGGGGGGTCAGGGAGATACGATGCGATGAGCTCGAGATGGTAGAGAAGCTAAGATGGAAATCGCTGAGAGGCACGACGTAGGCGACGATGACGAAGACGATGAAGACGGCGACGGAAGGAGACAGATCAGACCGCGACGTGAAGAACCAACCTTCGGCCCCGACTCGAGCAGCCAACTCTGAGGCTCCGACTACATGGACATTCTGTGAGACGAACTTCACCTCCTTTACTTGAACGAGCTTTGCAGGAAGGAATGCGGCATATTGAGACATTGCGCGGTTTTATTAATTTATCACTTTATCATTTGTGTCGTTGTATGTTTACTCTGCATTGAGGCACCGTTGTATTGTCCCCGTTACTCGCTTATGTATCCTGTTTCGCGTGTCGCGAGTATTTGCTGATGTGTTACCCTTTTGTGTAACAGAGGTGCCATTCACGGGCAATATGTGTATACGCCATTTGCACTTAGTATTCAATTAAATGCGTCCATGATTAAGAAAAAGATCGTGACGTCTCTTACTTCCTGGCCCCAGCACGAATCCCTGTATGTGGAAAGTGATTGAGACACGTAGCCAAGAGGGAACGGGATAAAAAGGGGTTGAGTGGTCTTCCCTCTCTTTGGTAATCGGTGGCGTAGAGGGGGACGTCTCATTGTGACAAGACACATTTGGACACGCGGATGTCGAATTGTGGTGATCTGCAGCCTTTCAAGCAACGGTACACAATTGGGCACTCTGGGACCGAGCAAGATGTGGTTAGCGCTTCATCACGAGCTACGCCTAAGTGGCGTGAGCCGCCGCCTGATCAGAAGGGTACAGTTCGATCGGTGCGTCCTCTGTCGGCGCCGGGGACTGTTGTGAATCGCGCCCACGCGCAGGCTCTCGCGATCTCCAAGTCGACGATCAGCAAGGCACTCGCGTTACATTTCGCTACGTTTGCAACCTGTCGTAAAAGACACTGCCCGCGCCTGCCAGTACATCGCGAAACGAAAGCACGTGCAGAACTGCGCCCAGCTTTCGCATTAGGGAGTATTGTCATCTTTATTGAAATTTTATTTAACCAACTTTTGGAAGTGTATGAAACTAATGTTTTCCACTGCGAGGTTGATTTTATTTCTGCGAACTAATGTCAATGAGACGGTTAGATTAAGAATCACTGCTTTGACAACCTGTATAACAATCTCCGCCGCATACACAATAACACTGCAGTGAAGCACTCTCTACAGAACAGATGGCCCCCGTGGAAAAAGTGTATAAAGGCAGCGGGATATGGATACGCCACGCTCCGAGAAAGTAATTCGCGAGTAATTAGGGATTTCCCTTTACAAGCGGATATTCAGGGCAGCCCTTCCATCATTCTTCTTCCCTTAATCAATGCTTAAATGGGTAGTGACGCGAAACTTTTGAGCTGTCGCTTCTTGGGTTTAATAAAAGGCCGAGCCCTCAAGAGCCTAGACTATGTACGGCTGTGTGTGCACCCTGTAAAAGTAACCACAGCATGTTTTCAAAAGTTGGTGGTGGTTGCTACTGTACGCTGACGTCACAACACAGTATGAGCTCTTCGTCACGTGCTCGTGCAAGATACCGGGACGTTTCTACGGCCGCTTCGCACCATAGCTCTGTTGATGACGCAGAAGCCATTTTGAATGTTTTGATGACATGCAAGCGGCAATTTTGGAAGCTTTGGTACCCGACATCATCGCAACTAGTCAGACCTGCGCGCGAAGTCACCAGAATCACTAGCCTGTCGTCATGTTAGCGTCGATATTTTTAGGTGCGCCACCAGGAGATTTGTATCGCAGAGTATACACACTTCCGAAAAATGGTGTCAGTAGCTTTTTTAAAAGGACAGGACAGTGCCGCCAAAATGCGACAAAAGGACTAAAATCCATGACGTCAGGTGTGGATATTTAAACGCGAATCTTAAAAGTAAACTTTAATTTTGATTTTCTTTTCCGTTATTGAACACACGGTCAAAGTAACCCGACTAGAGTTTCGGAGTACCGAAATTATCGATATAAAGACATTCGTTCTTTCACTTTACTGTCGTTTCAAAAATACAAATGAAACGAGTATTTACGCAACAATTCCAAATAGTGAATTTTTGGGTCAAGTATCCCTATAAAAACTTTGCTTTGTATACAAAACTTTAAATATTTAGACTACCCCAAAAATGGCGGCCTGATGTTTAAATTAGAGGTACCAGTTCTCTTTGTGATTCTATCTTACTGGGATGAGATGTTTTTAGGATCTATAGAGCTAATTCAATAAGCTCGTTCCACTCCAATATCTACATGTTAATATTACATTGCAACAATGCTATCGATATTGAACGTTAGGCACGCAACACAAATAAGGGCAATAAGCGAAAGATGCTTTATTATGCACAACAAAGGCAAAAATATACTTCCTAGAACATATACATTTTAAAAGGGCATACAGTTCACTGCACCCAGTGTGAGGACAAAGCACAGCAAACGCACTGCAACACTTTCGGATCACAGCCTTCATAGCCTTGTAATTTGGTGCTCCGAAGCACCAGCTTGACAATAATGCCAGCACATGCCATCAAACACTCATGTATAGCAGAGGCAATGCCTGTAAAAACAGAACAGCTTTATTATGAGATAAAAAGAAAGAGTATATTCACTGCACGTTCAGTCCATGAAGCTAGCAAATTGCAATTCTTTTCTTCTATCACTAGTGTCTCGATATATGCTATTGCTCCTGCAAACTGTGCAGCCACAATTTGTTATCAACGGCCACTGTTACTCGCAGCTCAACTCTTGTTTCATCCACTGGTTAGATGCACCTAGCAGATTCACAGAAACTTCAACAATACTGAAGCCATGATACACATATGGCGAGATGTTCAAAATCACGCAACTGAAGTTTTGTTGCCAACACCTCAAGCATAGCATATCATAAACATCCATGTTGAAGCACAGAGAAGCTAGCTTGTTTTCAACGCACAACTGTCAGGTGCTGTATTGTACAAAAGTAACATGCTTGGTACAGGTTGGTTCATCGATGCTACGAAACTTGCATTGTTAACTAGTCATGCAGAAGTGTTCAACACAGAAATGTAAACATCAAATCATAACGTAAACTGAATATTAGCACTGATCCACAAAATATGGCAAGCGCTAGCTTGCATTAACACCTGTTGAATGAATGAAAAAGAATGAAACGCAAGCCTGTCAACAGATTTGCTTCAAAACTGAGAGGTGGGCAAGTTGGAGTGTACACATTTCAAATAAAACAATGTGAAGGTATTATGCAGGCAAAAAAATGATGAACACAACTATTTGTGCTTTTCATTTACATATTTGTCTGTGTAACTTTCACTTTTTTTTTCATTCCCTATGGCAATGACTAACAGATTGTTGCCGTACTAAGAAATTTACAAGAAACTAACACGCAGCCACACAATTCCGACTAGCTCACTAGCTTGTATACAGGCGTATATTATACACATATATAAAGAGGGGAAACGAGCAAGTTGCTAGTGTAAGCACAATGCAATCTGCAAATGCTTGCGATACAAAAGCTGTCCCAAGCGTTCCATCAATGGTAGCTGGCCACAAATTCCTGCCAGTGTTTATGCTTCATTCTTGATTGTGTTGTGACCACAAGCGTATTCATCAGTTCAGCAAGCAGCCTGACTTTGTGAAAAATTCTCTGCCCTGCCTACAAGAACACAGGCTTATTGCACGAGTACATGGTCCACCAATACTTTGGAATTCACATTAGGCAGGAACTCCAAGAACACTCAGGCACTTTGCACCGCTTGGCAACGACAAGCAAATGAGGTTATGCTCTAGGCATAAAAGTATTCGAAGTTGTCTTGATAATATTAAACAATGCAATTGATTAACCCATAATATGTGATGCTTGTCATGTCTTACGTCATGTCTTGCATGTTAACAATATCTTCTGGAAAAGGTGCCAAGGATGAAACCAGTCCTATCACACCAATTTAGCATTCTGGATAGCCTGCTGTTTGGCCAGTATACTGCCTAGCGAGTTCATTATACCACAGAAGTAAAAGTGGCAGTTTCAAGCTAGATTTGCTTATGTCACAAAACTATGGGTTTCAATTAGCTGAAACGGAGGTTTACTCTGCTTTAAAGCATTTCCAATGACTGCAGTGTCCAGGGATAAAAGGCAGCAGTAGACTGCCCATCATAAGCACTCATATGTCAATTAATGCGCACGGCTATTTAGTGCACAGAGTTTGTTACACTTACCTAGAGAGAAAAGTGGCACTGCAAGCTGTTGGACACATGGGAATGCCGGGAAATGTGAGCTTCGAACTTGACTACGATTTGTATCGTTCACAGTCTGAACACCTCTAAGACGCATCTAGCTTCAATGCGTTCCTTGTGTTAAAATGGTTGATTTCTTACTAAAGGAGCACAAAGTAAGCTCTTTATTTTTTATCATTTCACAAAAACAAATTTTATTTAACATTGAGAACTTCTGCATTGATGCACAATTTCACGAAGCGTAGAAGGTAATGAACGGGTGCTAAACTTGGCAGGCAGACGAAAAAGCCAGGATTAATACTGTCACTGCTAGTTGTCTGTTTTCTTATTTCGCCGCTTGGTTATGCCGTACAGCTGAGTGGACTTCTATTTTAGAATATAATATGCGTAAATGAGACCCACTGATAAAATTTTTGTTTTTGAGAAGCTTTATTTGCGGAGTCGTATCCGATTTTAAGCCAAAACCTCTCTTCACATTGGGGAACACAAGCCTCGCAGACATATACCGTCATTCACAGTGTTCCAACGGCGCCCCTAAAGAAATCCGAATAGACGGTGGCGGCAGATTGACCTCTAGGTATTTTTGTGAGAAACTCCGTGATTTAGAGTTTCAAAGATGGTTTGCAAGATTACTACCAGCATGCTAAACAAATTTTGATGCAGCAAAGAACAGAACACTTGTTTACTATATACAACAACAAAAAAGTAATTTTCTGAGCTTTGTTTACTTTTTGCTGGCACTTAAAAAGTGCCAGCAAAACATAGCCCTGTGCTAATGTTAGACATTCAAGTGGTAGAGCACACAAGTTTATACATTTATCAAAGGAACAGCTGCTGCATAATTTGACTGGGCAACTACTCACACATTAGAATAAGCCAGTAGAAACCGAGTTCAACAAAAACAATGAGTACAGATATATGTCAAGATCTTAAAAAAGTTGGAAAGAGAGAATAGGCAGCAGTTATCAATACAGTACATATACCAAAAAAAGGTGCCTCATGGAGCAATTCATATGTCACCTGAAGTGTCTGAAATTGCTGAAGAAAGAGCAGGTGAGATATTCGAGCGATAGCTTCAGGAAAGCTCGAGGCACAGTTCTAAATATTGAAAAATATGCAACATTTTAAGTTAATGCAACTGGTATCAAAACCATGCATATAATATGAATATCAACATAATGCAACAGAGAAAAATGCAGCAAGAATTTGAGTTGAGATCACAGAAAAAAAAGACATGCATTGTAATAAAAACAAAAAAACGAGTGCTGTTTTACTATAGTCGGTTACAATCTGAGAATAAATACGTGCTCTGCCTCCAGTACTGCAGTTCCCCTGTCATTTACCTGTGCAACAGAGCAATGATTGGCGATTTCTGTTCAAACCATAACAAATTTTTTGCTCATAATTCAAATAGTATGCATATTATAAATTAAAGATTCATCATTTCTTGTTAAAATATTACATTTGGCTAGGCAGTGAAGTTGGAATTTTTGATTAAATTAGCAAAAAAGCAATTTTTTGCAATCGAAAACTGTCGCAATGAACAACACGTGCCTGTACAGCCAAGCCATTTGCCTTAAATACGTAAAAGGTCCCAACATCACATAATTAAGTGATTTCAATTAGTGGGACATTTATGATAATTCTGCCTGTAGGAGGGGGGGGGGGGGGATGGTGATGGAGCTTGCATTTATTCTTAGGCTGTAACCCACTATAAACCCCAAGACTCTTGAAGCACTTGTACCCAGCAAGCTCTGGTACACAAACACAGGTTACAAAGCACAAAGCCAATATTTTTTGCCAGCTTATTGAACAAAACTTTGTGGTAACCAATAAACCAAGAGAAATCTTCCTGCAGATGTGTTTGCTAAACCTTAAGACAAATATTTCAACCCAAGTTTGTAACCTTGAAGTTTCCAGATTCTTTTAAACATCTGCATTAATTGTATCCAAAACCTAAGCATGGAGCAACAAGAAACTAAGTTAGTGCACACTCATAAAGTAGAAACTGTTTCACATTAAGATGCAGCCCCCACCTTGACAAGTTATAAAAGAGATAGTAGGAGTAATTTTGTTATTTAGGCATTAAATTGCAAATATGATATCTCAAGTTATCTTGCGGGAAGGGGAGTCAACATTCAGCCTGCCCACTCTTAAAATATTTTCAGACACACCAGTAAAAACACAACACATAACAGTGCACTCATGAAATGAATGTTCACGAGACCATATAAGACTAAAACCGCAAGTATAGGCAGCACAAGACGACAAGTTCATGCGTGATAAAAAGGTCACACGAAATTTGCTTTTTACTTTTTGGTGGAACCAATTATTTCAAAACTGCCACCAAAATAGCAGCCACACAAAAGAAGAGATGCATCAAGACTCAATGTACACAAAATTACAAAATGAAAAATGTACAACTATATCTTGACATATTCCGAGTATGATGCTAAACGCAAAGGTATTTACATATAACAACTCGGTCTCATAAAAGTGATGTCCAAAAATCCAAAAAGCAACCACACAAGAACTCTTTGATTCTATATTACTTGATCAAGCTAACATGTAATATATAAATGATCTCACCACATATAAAACATCTTACCACTACAAATAATTTATAACTAGCTTTTTTCTTTGAGCAGAGGTATCACGCTCGTCACAGAACACAGCCAACATTGTTCACTGAATACCACTGACACTGAAATTAAGCTATGCCATAATCTTGCACTTTTTATGCTAACAAACACTTTGTGCCTAAAACAATTAGAAACATCAATAGTGCAATGCCACTACATTTTTGCAAATAGAGCAGTTCTTGGCATTCGAGAACAGTGTCACATACATAATCTTCTATGGTGATGCATACCAGTGCCATGACCAGCCACACAGACAGGATGCTTCACAAAGCTGCAAGCAGTCGTTAATAGGCTGTATGTCATATCACACTAACACGTTTTAACAGGAACATAATGCACTGGCCCAAGAGTCCAAACCATGCAGCTGCACTTGAAATCATAAGCAGGGCGATTGTAGAACAGGCCACCACCTGTTTTTCGGCTCCTCACCCTCGCATCTTCACAGATATCCACCCCATCGCACTCAAACAGATTCGCATATGCACTGAAATCAATGTGGTCACCATTTTGTACAAAGGCTAGCACAAAAAAAAAAACCCACACTAGTTCACTCTTTTTATCTCCAGCAGCCCTGTCTAGGCTCTGAAAAGGTGAATGACGAAACTGTACACCACATAACTCCCTATGTGCCCTTCCTTGCCCAAAGCATTAGCCCTCCAACCGCAACAACAGCACCTAACCCCCAAACAAAATTTTTGGAGACAAGTTGTAGAGGAGATTAGCTTGCCTCTGAAGCTCTATAGGCCAGAGGTAACACTAGTTGCGCCTTGAAGTGGAGAAGCACAAGAAAGACGAGACCGGCGGTTTATTCACATGCACAATTTTTTAAAATACCAGAAAGTTTTCAAACATTGATTAGAGGAGTTTGTGAATCACAGTAAGCGCAGAGAATAGCTGATGTACACCTTCTCACCTAACAAGGCATGAGAAGACTGCCAGTGTATACTTGTTACCAGCCTAACGTATCAAAATGTTACATGGCAAATGGGAAGCAAAAATTTTTTCACTCCCTTGACAGGCATGTAGCAGCAAGCCCTATTATAAATAGCTTTGCCAAAAAAAACATGTGAATTCTTGCAATGACTATAATCTCAGGAAGTTCAGGGTCTGCCTAACTTTTTTTTTTTTCAAAGCGCTGATCACAGTTAAACAAGCACAAAATCAAACATAACTTTGCCCCCTCTCCGACGTAAAATGAAGACCTTCACAGACAGGTACACGCGTTTCATGCAGAGATTTATGAGTGATTAATTTCTGTGAAGCAAATATCACGAGCACACCTTTACAGCAATAACTCCACCTAATGAAGCAAAATGCTGCAGACAATATGATGCATTGAGCATTCACAATGAGGAAAGCTGTTCATCTTCTAGGAAACTGTGCAGAAGATGAACCCTTACCAGCTCACCCAGTTTTCAATGCTCAAGGAAAGCAGTGTTTTGACTACTGCAGACTGCTTATGTGCACGAACACAGCACCACAAAAGCCCTCACAAATATAAAAGCAGCACATAATCTGCATTGCAGTGCATTCAACACCTGTTAAGGACGGAAATTGGAGTGCAAACATCAGCATTTTAAAATTTTATGGGGTGCAACCTACTCAAAATCACTGTTTTCACTCTCATGGTCGGAGCTATCAGGTCCATGAGAGGCAATGTTAATCTTTGTAAGAGCTGCTTTAAGAACTGCATTGAAGTCCTTGGACTGACCTCCAGTTGCTGAAAAAAACAAAAAAGCGTGAATGAATTACAATTGTAAAGGTGCTCTTCAACGATGGCATTGGGTGAAACTATAACAAAAATGACTACCTGAATTTCTATTTTTGTCATCGTCAGAGGTAGCGGCTTTCTTGAGTTTGCCACGAGCAGCAAGAATTTCTGCGAGGTTGATAGTCTTGCTAGATTCTGCTTGGTTAGGCTTTGACAGATCTTGCTTTGGTCCAGGCTTTTTGAGTGCTGTCAGTGGAATGGGATTTAGGGCAGCTGGCTGCAATGAACAATCAGATCCAGTAAACCTCTCAATATGCAACTGCCTGCAAGCAGTATTCAGCTATAGAACCCTATCACTTGGAGCACAATGTAATAATATTAAAACTCATAAAATTTACAAGGATCCCCCATGCACTGCAGAAATGAATGTAGTGTCAAGCACTTTGCAGGTATTGAGCAATGTAGCCTCATTCGAGGTTTTACAAACTGTTGCAAAGTTCATACCTGCCAACTTGGGCATCTCAAAACTTTAGATATCGGTAAAGTGGGAGGGGGGGGGGGGTAAAATATACGACAAAAAAAACCTGGTTTATGTTTTTATGTATTGTTTCTAAAGGCTGCAGCAACATTACCAAAAACTCTGAATGATAGCCAGTAAAGTTCAGTGAAGTTCTTAGACATCAGTAATCATACAGGTAGTCATGATTATATGGTGCGCACAAGTGTGTGTATTAAAACAAGAAATTTTCAACGTCTCGTGACCACTAGTAGCCCTCTTTCAGTTTTAATAAGCTTCCCTACATGTCATCAATGTACTGAAGCGAGGTGACCTGAGCATTTCAGGTGTGAAAGACCAAGCCAAGAAAACTGCAGAACTGCTCCATTAATATACGGAGCATTTCTTAGTCGCACGATGTCACGCGTTGTGCGTCGGTCGGCAGTGATGTCCAACCTCCACTACGCATGCTTGTGCTCTCCTCCTGCAGGCTTCCTTCATCGGAACAAATGCGAATCGCTCGTTGAACTAAAGACCGAATCACTGAGCGTTTGTGGGCTACCGGGTGGACTGACTCATAGTCGAGGTATCTACCGGAGTGCGTTGGCTTTCGGTACACAGCGAAGGCGAGGCCTGTGGGAGTACTTTTTTTTTTTTTCAACAATGCCTTTACCTGACCAGACGGCATTCCGTCGAACTCTCGACTATTCTCCCGCTAGTAAAAACCCCAGACACAAGAAAGACACAAACACGGCAACATGAGTGGCACTTCCAGCTGGTTTATTCCAAGTATGAAGCAGAGCGATATATATACATGACCCACACATGCACAGATTAGCCAACACTCCTTAACCTACCCACGTCTCAAACAATCTAATCTCACAAGATAGCAATTTTATGTACGTGTCACTCATACATTCATCTCCCAATTTACTGATTCAGTAAAATCTTGTTAATTCTACCCCATTAAATCGGAATTTCGGTCAATTCGGCCACGGCAACTGGTCTCGTACAAAATGTACATTGTTCTATGACTGAAAACACTCATTAATTCGGACAAATTCGGCCGCGCTTTGGTTAATTCGATTGATTTGTGGGGTTTAACGTCCCAAAAACACCATTTGATTATGAGAGACGCCGTAGTGGAGGACTCCGAAAATTTTGACCACCTGGGGTTCTTTAACGTGCACCCAAATCTGAATACACGGGCCTACAACATTTCCGCCTCCATCGGAAATGCAGCCGCCGCAGCCGGGAATCGAACCCGCGACCTGCGGGTCAGCAGCCGAGTACCTTAGCCACTAGACCACCGCGGCGGGGCATTTGGTTAATTCGAACACCCGACCGTGGTCGAGTCATGACGGGGAAGCAGCAGCGGATTCTGTCGGCCAAATCGACCGCGTACCTAGACAACTTTGGGACCGGATTTCGGCCTCAGATTCAAAACTTTATCCACGGGTAGTACATCTTGAAGGCACCCAAAAAAGAAAAAAACACAGGGTGGTTTAAACAACCAAAATGGAAGGCAGTGCATCGCTACTGTCATCAGCTATGAGCAACCCACGGATTTGCGTTTCGTTTTTTCTTGCGCGTCGAACCCGTTTGCGTGACGGTTGAGTTGAATTGCTCACCTCTAAAGGGCTTTAAATTATTTGTCTGTACGTGATCAGTTCCATCTGCCGTCTTACTGTTTGCTGTTCTTTGAAAAGTTCGCCGGTTTTTATTTCATTTTTATCACAGTGCCTTTTTTTTTTCGCGCGCGCGTGCACGTGTGTGTGCGGGTGTGTTTGTGTGTGTTGTCTACTTCGTTCGCGTGCACATAACCCCCGGGCAAGCGATGCCTGGATGGCTTCCCCTCCATCCCCTGCGGCCCCAACCGCCCCAACTCCCGCAGTGAAGAGGGAGAAGTACGAAGCAAAGGATTTGGCTGCGAAGGTGAAAATATTGAAGCCGTTGGAAGCGGGAGCATCTCGAAAAGAAGTGATGGAAAAGTTTAATATGAAGAAAATCACGCTGAGCACTTGCGTGAAGAACGAAGAGCAGATTATGAAAGCATATGATGGGTACATGCTTGGCGACCAAAAGAAGAGGCTTCGAACGGCAGCGCATTCCAAGCTAGAAGCACTGTTGCACTGGTTTGCTGTCTCGCGCAATGCACGTTTGCTTTTGAGCGGCCCCCTTATCTGCACACAAGCAGGGAAGTTTGCGGTGATCATGAACATTGGCTTTTTCAGTGCATTGGATGACTGGTTCGACCGCTTCAAGAAGCCACATGGGCTGGTGTTCCGAAACATGTGTGGTGAAAGAGGTGCAGTTGATGAAAGTGTTGTGCAGGACTGGTCTGGACTATCCACGCGCCTTTCTACGTACGAGCCGTGCAACATCATCAACACTGATGAGACAGCGGTGTTCTATAAGGCTGTGCCTGACAAGACAATTGCGTTTAAGGGAAACCTGTGCGTGAATGAAAAACGAAGTAAAGAGCGCGTGACAGTACTTTTGGCTGCTGACATGACCGGTACCGAACGGCTGCCGCTGCTGGTGATCGGGAAGGCTGCGAAGCCAAGATGTTTTAAGAATATTAAGCAGCTGCCTGTCGAATACCGGTTCAACAGAAAGGCTTGGATGACTACCGAACTCTTTCAAGCCTGGCTGCATCAGCTCGAACGCCACTTTGCAGCCAAGGTTCGGAAGGTGTTGTTCGTGCTAGGCAACTGTAGCACGCACACGAAGGTGTCTGGGCTCGAGAACATTGAACTGCTATTCCTGCCTCTGAACACAACGGCTTCCCTTGCAGCCGATGGACCAGGGGATTATACAGTTCGTGAAAAGCTGCTATCAACGGCAGGTACTCGAGCGGATGTTGCTCTGCATGAAGTCAGGCAAGCAGTACGAAGTAAGCCTGCTAAGCGCAATCTAAATGCTGACATACATGTGGAACAACACACCGCCTGCAGTAGTCGCAAACTGCTTTAGGCATGAGCTTCGTGCACGACGCTGCTAATCCGGGTGTGGTGGCCGATGAGGAAACTGGCGAAGAGCAAGACGGCCGCTATGTGAGCATCATGCCAGCTCATGTGCCCCTTGGTTGCCGTGGCCGGCACAGTGACCGCCAGCAATATCGTTGCCGAAGTCTTGGACAGCAAAGGAGAATCGGCTGATGAGGACGTAAGTGATGCTGACGAGCGTCGACGCCACATGACAGAGGCTGCGCAAGCGTTGGCCGTTTTGGAGGACATGTGCATGCTTTCCTCAGACAGTGTGCGCAGACTAAGCCACCTGCAGGAACTTCGCGAAATTGTGACTGCGTCGCACATTGCGTTCGTGAAGCAAACTGCTATCACAGACTTTTTAAGAAATAAAAGTCTGATGGTGTAGGAGACATTTTTCAAGTGTTTTGTTCGTACTCGCGATAGTTGGTGCCCTCGGGTAATTCAGACTTTCTCTCCGGTCCCGTCAAGTCTGAATCAACGGGGGTTTTACTGTATGAAAGGCTTCTAGTTACTCACATGCTGTGTAATACTTGCTCTAACCCAGGATCATTACCTCATAAAATTGTGGTTAGCATTTGCAGACATTGCAGTGTGCAGGAACACGTGAGAGTTCTTTTCCTTTCTCTAGAATACGGTGATATTGCATGGCTCATACGTTCAACGTAATACCTGCCACAAGTCAGGGGAATTGGTAGGTAACTCCGGCCTCACATTTAGAGTAAGCCGAAGCATGTTTAACAACACAGCCTGAGGATCCTTCAGCAGTGGTGCGAGGGCAGAGCTGAGATGGCTTTACGGGGGCAGAAAGAACAAGGAGATCATACCTGCTTGCCACCTTTTTGAGGTTCTGGGTCACCTTATGAAAATACAATACCACTGCAAGTCCTACGATGCAAGTACCTGTGCTTGCTACCACCGATTGCTTGCTGCCTTTAATCTTCTGCAGGAGAGTTCTTGCCACTGACGTTAACGACAAATCGCAGAAAAAATCAGACCACCGAAAAAATTTCCCCTTCTTCCTTCACAGAAAAGGCCTCCCTCAGGCAGGCCTTAGGTTAGTAAGGGTTCATTGGTCAGCTTCCACCTCATGCAAAGATCATGTGACCCATGGTACCCTTTCCCACAAAGAAGGTCCCCCACTTATTGCCTTGGCAACGGGAGGCATTGTCTAACCCTTCAAGCGGTTACATATACAAAAATTCTTTACCCAAGGAAATGGATATAGAAGTGCCTTATATTGTAGCTCAGTTGGTATAAGATTGGACACGTTTTGCCAACCGTGCGTTCCAATCCCACCAAGGGAAAGGGAGACATTTTGTTCCCTTTAATTGATTTCCATTTACATTCTTACTGCAACACTAACGCTGAAGACTACAAATAATACCTATGCTCTCCCAGGCCTAACTGTTTTTCAGATAGACTGCAATACGGACTCACCGTTAACGATGGCATCAGTGGTGGTGGCGGAGGCGGTGGAGGAGGAGGCGGTGGTGGCGGTGGGAGTTGCACAGCAGGCGGTGGTAAAGGAGGGGGTACAGGCAGAGACAGGTCATCCTTCTTGTTCTTGGTGCTCTCGGAGGAGTTTTTGAATGCTTTTCTTCTGTCCGCTGCAGTGCCATTCTGGAGTTTTGAGCTCTGCCTTGGGCTCCTCGGAGATGGTGACCTCGATATCCCCTCTTCACTAGGCTCCAGCATAGTGCCATCAGCATTTCTTTTGCCATTTTGATATTTCTGCATCAGTTGGAGCACATATGAAGTCATGCGTAATTAACGGCACAAAAGCAGTTGCTGTAACAATGCCGTAAACTAATCTCACTACCGTACTATCCCACTTGCTTTTTGCAATGAATGTATTGAATGACAAGCTTATAAAAGACGTATGCTTGCTATGCAACTAAACACTGTGAGTGCAGCACAGCAGTTGGTGATTGCAAGGTTGCACTAGGTTGCATCTATAATTGCTCTAGTATGCAACATTAACTTTTTCATTAGTCCCAAATGGGTGTCTTTATCCATGAATTCACAAGTAGGTAGCATACGCACTCAGTGCACCATAGCCAGCCAGTCTTGTGTGTCTCGAATTTTATCAACTCACCAAATGCACTGCATTAAGTGACATTCATAAAGTCCGAAACCCAGCGAGATCAACGACATTCAAATCCAGAAATCCAACACATAAATTCAGCTTAGCTTCATATTTCTCACTGATGAACATCTAAGGATCCCAGCATTCCTAAACTGCTGCCTTAATTTTTTCTAAACTGCTTCCTTAACAACTAGTGTAGGCTGTTGCACTCAAGTTGTGCTGATCACGTATGAATATACACTACTCAAGTGTACGCTACAGGAAATCGTTTGTCAATATTAAGCGCAAGTATCAAATTACCGCAAGAGTATTAAGATGCAGAAGATCTGGCATAGTCGAAACGAGCAAAAAATTCTTATGAATGCTAAAAATAGCAACAGGCAGTTTTGCCATATGCTACCAAGCAAATGAGTGAATACTCATCACAAAAAATCCCCGCATCTTGCGAAGTGAATCATGACAAGTAGGGAAAGCTAGGTCTCGAGCTCAATACGTCGAAGTCGCTGACTAGTATAAAGGGTTTGCACTAGTAGGTGTTTACATTGTTCTTCCACAATTATGATTAATATTAGACTATTATTAAATCTTTTTTTGTGTCTCACATATGTTTCAACTATATTGTACACTATAATTGAGGGTTGCCCCAAATAATGTAGCCGTGACAATGGACACCAAACAGGTTTCGAGACTAAGGTGCTTCACCCCTAAAAGAAACCCAAAAGAGTAGAAGCAATGTATTTTCCCATTATTCAGAATAATTCTAATCATTAATTTTTAAAATGTCACTCAAACACAAAGGGTAGTTTGAAAAATCACCTAATTGTCTTGTGCTGAAAAAAAAACTATGTACTATGAACAAAAGCATATAGTGTAGCTACTACTAAACATTGTTGCTTGAGTAGTTTCTCCATTTGGTTGAAGGCACATTTGCCAGCGCATGACTAACCTTACTTGTGATTTTCCTCAACGTTTGTCTGACTGAATGTTTACATGAATTGCCCCCAATGTATGGTCAAACACTCAACCATAGGCTCAGGGGGGGGCAGCCGCGCCCGCTGGACGAGTAGGGGGGAGGGGGCTGCGATGAATTTTCGCCCCTCTTGATGGGGAACCCTGCGTTTGCCTATGCAGTCATCTACTCAGTCATCGACGAACGTACTATTAGTGAATGACAAATGCACACATTGGTGATGAGATTATGACTAAATTAACGATACTATATTTGCAGGAAAGTGCAAATAAGCCCAAAAAATGTGACAAGCGACTGGAAAATTCTACAAGCGACCCAGTGAAAAAAAAAAAAATCCCCCAAGCGGAACTGACAACTCTTATAACAGACATGCTCAGACTGATGGCATATTACTTGGCGGAGCTCCTGCAAGCAAAGTAATTAAACTGAAAAAATTTTGGGTGAGGATGGAAGTTGAGCTTAGGCCTACAGGGCAAAGGTGAAATCCCATACAGGCCTAACAGCCACAATGACTCAGCAATTGAAGCTGAATCAAAGAGAACCTATCAAATCAGCATACACACTAGTATTTTAAGACCTTGAGGGTTCCGCTGACATTGTCGCTGCTCTTGGAGCACTTCGCAACCACTGCAACCTGCGGTTATGAGCATTATGGGAAGATGACACTGTCCTCCTATGATTTCACGATGAAGAGCGTGTATTGCAGAAAACGCTGTTCCGTTCCAAATCTTTCTGGCCAAGCTTGAATGTTCACCAATTTTCCCAATCACATACATCAATAAAAATGAAAAAAAATTATTCCACATTGATTTCGCAGCTCTCCACAATTTACACCTGCACAGCTTCAGCTGTAACACCTGCTGTACCTTTTTGTATTCCCTGAGCCTTTCCAATGTCTTCCTGCGCTCACTATCAATGCGTTCGTGATTCATCTCCAACGTCTTGCGTATCTCTTCTCGTCTCTGCAAAATACCCATTCATGTCAGTCATCAACAAATACCGGCCCGAGAACAGGCAAACTACAAGAACAATGAGTCAAGCTGGACAGATACACCCATGCACACACACCAAAAAAAGAAAACGAATGACACAATAAACGCAAGAAAAATAAATGTACGCTAGTACTAGAAAATTCACGGCTAATGACCGAAAACAAACTAAGCTAAGCCGCAATAACAGACATGAAGTTAACCTTAAGCTACAAAAAATATATCTGTTTGTCACTCATCTGTCAAATTGCATCGCATCATGCATAAGCAGAACATAGCATACACGTAGCAGCTTAAATCTCTACAAATTATATGTTTCGAACTTACTATATGGACAGCGTGGTGCTGCTTGATCCGATTCTTCTTCTCTTCCTTTCTCTTTACCTTTTTCTGGTGTTCAGCAATGCAGGCTTTCTATAATGAAGAAAATACATAATGGGAAGAGATACTGGGAAATTACAAGCAATCTCTATTCTGACCACCAGGTATTTTTAACAGATAAAAGAAATGTTGGTATAGGGTGTATGCACTTGACGTCATCTACGAGGATCGCTAGCGTCGGGGGTCGCCATTTTAAGGTCTGCATGTTTGCCACACACGCATAAAATTCGCTGCACGCGCTGTGTTCCAAATCCACACAGCAACATGGATGCTTGAAACCTCCGGAACACTTTCTACATACCAAAACATGGACAGCAGGACGGTGCACACGAACGGACCTTCAAAATGGCGCGGCAATGGTGTTGCCCTCTTGCGGATCAAGGATACCCCCTATATTACGCCTTTCTTACAAATGAGCTATTTCATAATTGAGACATAAAAATTTTCTCATAACTGCTCCAAAGCATGCAAAGATATGTCTAGAACTGAAGAAAGATGAGGGACAAGCTGAATTTATATTCTGTAGAAATTCCTACTATATTTCATAGCTCTGCAAAGATTAATTTATCAGTAAAATGTCTAACAACGCTTAACATTTCGTAGCTGGGAGTCCAAACTTGCAAACCATAAATGACGAACAGGTGACTGACCTACCTCACTGAGTTTATGTTTGTAAGGGGAAAAATAAATCAAATCTACGCTTAGTTTAGTTTCTTGCCTTTTTTCAAGCTGTCACATGCATAGCAGAGCATGAAGTCAGGCTAGTTGCTTTTGTTTATAATGTAATAAATTGTACTGCACAGAATACAGGACTGCATGCTTCTTGCCTTTCGTCCTATATTCTGGGCTGTACAATTCAATCGCTTATGTCACACATGCAACACTCTGATGCAGTAGCTTCAAGCATGTGACCTGCCAAGACCCTGCACTATGGTTTGCCCGACTTTCCTTCAAAGTTCACCATTCTTCATACTTTATCTGATCCTATCTTGAAGTACTGTTTGTTTCACACATGAAGACCCATAGCAGATAGGAGACGTCACATATGACACAGCCTCAGACATCAGTGGCCATGACTATGAAAGGCACTCATGTACAGTTAAGCCTGAGATTTGGAAAGTACGGGCGATGTTAGAAGCCCTGACAAACATGAGGTTTTTTTTGTTGTTTATTGCCAGTGCAGGTTACTAGGACTGCCCAAAGGATCTGAGATGCAAAGAAAGGATTGCACTTACAGCACCACTTGAGCAACTGCAATGGAAATTCATAAACGCAACTCGGCAAACTGCAATTCATCCACAGAATATCCCCTAACTCATGCCAGTCATCGTGGAAGTCTTGCTAGGCACATTTTTCTCATTCTAAGTACATTACACTTGCTAAAGGCACATGTGTGAAGCAGTACACACAAGTTGTTTGTCAACTCTACCCTAATGAAGTACTTAAAATACAAAACGAGAGGAGGAAGACTAATCTGTTAACAGTGAAGAACACAGGAGGAGACCAAGAACAAAGACAAATTACACTTGTCCACCCAGACCACACAATACAAGGCTGTTTTATTGTACGCAATTATAGTTGATAAGTTAGAATTTAACTCTCTCGTTATCATGCCTATTCAGATCGATCACTGGTGATCGATGCTTTGGATTGCCAATTTTGGCATTTTAATTTGTTTCTCGAGCATCAAAAACTTTCTAGTAATTAGTCCTTCCAATTGCCTTTCAGAATCAACTTCAATCTACCTGTTCTGGCAACATAGTGATTTTTGACAGACTTTTGCACATACCAATGTAGATGTGTTGGGAAAATGCACTTGACTAGCGCACTTGACAGAAGTGTGTGCCCCTCATTCTTATGCAACCGTAACATCAAGGTTCTGTAATCAAAAGAGCCTTTGCAAGTCGCATATCAAATTAAGGTGTCAGCTTCGCAATCTGACAGTGTTGAGCGGTAATAATTGCCAGAAATTTATGCCAACTTTTTTATGGAAAGCTGTTGCTGGGAGTTGGAAAACTTGTTATACAAAAAAATATTCCCGAAGGTCCGCCGCATGTATAAAGTGTGGAGGTGGCCTTCTCACAGTTTTCAACACCTTTGGTTTCGCTTAAATTGTTATATCAGACACAGGGTTGCATCTAGTGTCTCTAGTCGCTCCAATGGCACTGTCGTCACGCTCACTTGGGTGTGCAACTGTGCTGTAAAAAGCACGTGTCGCTCTAAACTGTCTTGCAAGTGCACCTGAATTGAGTGAGGACGATCTTAAGAGTTCGAGGATGACAGCACCTCAGCTTCAAGTTTTATGGCAATGATGTTTTGCATCAGCCTGAGACATCCGCAGCTGTCCGTGGGTTTTTCTTTGCGGCTTCAAGTTGTCTCCTCTGCCGCAAGTGTGTCCTTTGTGCAGAATCTCATAGCTACTCTGGTTACGTGTGAGGTCCGCATGTTGTTGGGGCACGATATGCTGGCGTCGGCTGCAGAGCTTCTCCTTATGACAGGGCCACCAGAGTACATTTTAGCCCTGACTACGGACCAGTATGAGACGTTCCAGGACTGTGCACAATATACATGTATATTTTTTTTTAATACGATGTGCAGAAATTCAAAGAAATATGCTTGGATGCATATATTGGAAAGCCAACCTATGAGAAGTGAGGTGGCTCATGGGAAGAGGTGATGCTACACCAAAAAGTGAAGTTTATTGGACATCAAATTTTTAAAAGCACTATTTGCATCACGGGTATCCATTTATAGCTGAACACCTGCAAACTCTCATAGCAAAAAAATAAATAAATACATTTACTGAGAAAAGTGTACAAGTTCACTTGTGGCTCACAAAAAAACCAAGCAATGCTTCACTGCCTGACATGAGCAATGTAGCAGCACCTCAATTCTGATTTTCTTAGTCTATGTCAATAGAAACATGTTGTACAATATTTAATATTTTTTCTACAGTTCCTGGGTCATTTATCTTCAAAATGTATATTCTGAATTTTTGTTTTGAATATTTTTGCATATATAGTGTTTTTCATTGCACCGTTTACCAGCTGGCAACCAAAAATTACCCACATTTTATGTTTTTATTCATTCCAAAATATTTTTGTTGTGCTACAACTTACATTTTTTTGGAAAAAGCATTTAATTGTGAATAACTTGATATGCTGCGATGCGTGCTAGAGTATGTTTCAAACTGCAAAAACTACCTTCCTGAGACACACGAAAGATAACCATTTTTGCATGGTAACGAAAGAGTCAAACCAATTTATTCTCTCATTTTCACACTTCCTACCCATGAGTTCAGCATGTTTTTCCACGGTTTCCTTGGAGCAATAACTGTGACCAATCGTGTTAATGACATACGTAGAAAAGCTTACTTCTGTGCCACTACAAACGGCTGATTGCAGGCAGATACCTTAAGGGGAATGCACGCCCACCTACCCGCTTGTTTCTGAGGATGGCTCGCTTCCTGTAAAGCCTGTTGAGACGAAGCTTGAGTCGGTCTCGTCTCGACATGGGGCCACTGTTCTCCATCTCAAGTTCATCCTCAATCTGATCTCGTTCCTCCACTGCATCATAAAAGATGCCCTCATCCAGCTCCTCTGTACCAAACCAAAGTCCAAACGAAAAGTATTGTCAAAAATTGAAGATTTCAAATAACATAGCACTGTCAGAAAAACTTATACAACACTAACAGCTTTTATGTCTAGGTCTGCATGCACAGGTTGAAAATCTATCGTGGAGTTTAGACATAAAAGGAACTTCACATAGCTGAGTCGATGCTGGTTATCATGTTCATGACTCAATCTGATCTTTAGCAGTACTATGTAACAGCTGAATTTTTCGGTTTCCATTACATTTCTTTTTGTCCATTTTTGATATGTTTCATGATGCATTCCTTCATATATCAGGTGCAAAATATTTTAGAAAGGCTACTGCATATAGAAGCAACCTAGAACTGTTCTCTTCAAGAAGGTGCAGCCTAAAATGTCGCAGTTCTCTTTTAAAAGTAGGGTGCATAGTAAATGGCGCAACGCTAGCTATGAACATAAATTTCTAAATTGGTTGAGCGGCCCATTTATGGCAAGCTATGTATAACCATACAAAACCAACAAGCAATGAAGCCAAGAAAAACTTAAGGGAGGTCATCACTTAAATGCAGTACTGTCAAAGAAATTTCCAAATTAACTAAATGTCAGATGATCAAAAGTATCAAGAAAACAACAAGCAAGTGTCTATTAAATCAACGCATTTTTATTTTTTTACGACTATGTAAAACTTGTACCGATTTCGTTTAAGAGCAGCATAAAAGACTGAATTTTAATAATTCGAGACTTTTGTGGGAAAACCACGCTTCGGAGTTTAAAGGCACCAAATGAAGGAGACGCAAACGCCAGCATCCATGGTAAAAGAGCGTGTTCTATTACGGCTGCACTCTTCCTCTTCCTCGTCGTTCTCCGTCTCTTGGTGCGCGCGCTATTCGCCCGGGAGGTTCAAACAATTTCCAACAACTTTGTTCCCAATATGGCTACATTTTAATACACCCATGTCTTAATTATCAAAACGTGCTCTGAACAATTAAATCTCTTATTATGCACTACCATACCCAACACCACCATGTGCACAATTTTTTCACCAGCAAAAAAATGGCTGGCAATTGATCGTTCATTCATCACAAAGTAGCAAGCGAGTTTTATGCCAGCATGAACATCGCAGCTGACGCTCATTTTAAACAGCTCCCGACATGTGTGCATTTTGTGACATCGCACCACATTGCCCAAAGTCAAAACAAGGGCACTGGTTCGCTGCTATTTTGATGCAGTTAAAGCTGAGGCACTCAAATAACTAAAAAAGATCTCGTAGGACTCAGTTTTACTGTTTTCTTCAGAAAGGAAAATTCGGTACACCGTCCACTGTGCTTTCTTGAAGTACCTGATCAACACTAACACAACGCATGAGCAGTGCGAGGATTTAATACCTTGCCAAGCGCGATCGAGGATGTCCTTCTGTCTTCGCAGTATGTCCTCCTCCTCCTTGAGCATCTCCAAGCTTATATCGAATATGCCCAGCTGAGAACGGTACACCTCTTCTTCCATTTCCTCCAGCGTGCACTGACCCCGCAATGCCTGCTGTTCCAGCTGCAGCAGAACAAGACATGCTGCACATTCCACTAGACTCCCTCTTCTGCTATACTTCTCACATGCCATTAATGTGAGGAGAATTCCAAACTAATTACTATGAAAAGGCCTTCTATTAAAGGTGAAAGAATTACATGTTGTAACCAACCACCTAAACATGTCAGCAGTGCTGTAATTGAGCCCTTAGTCTTAAGTACATAGTTCTTGAACTAATTACTGGCTTTACAATTACACTCACAATCATTTGCAATATATCTACTGCATACACACCTCTCTTTCACAAGTTTAAAAGAAAGCCCAGAAAATGTTTGAAAATTTCCTGCGGTTTCCAACTTGCATGCTAAGGCAATATTATATTAAGTAAGAAAAAAAAAAGATGGGTTATGCAAGATGTTCCACACAACAAACAGTCAAAAGGGATGTTTCCAAACATGCTCTACAAATGTTGTCATTTCTGTAGCCCTAAAGGTTTGTAGAGAGAAAGCTACTACAAATTCATCACTAAAACTTTGATATAGCAAAAAGATAAATGCTGGCAGATTTTTCAGAAGGCTGCTAGCACAACAGTTGGTTTTTCTCCACATTTTCTCCTCACCTTTACTTTTTCACGCATGTAAACTGAAGCTTTTGGTATATATGACAGGTATCATCTGCTTTGAAAGCACTGTTCCATGCTATCATGGACACTGTGATGGATCAAGTGTGCTTCCACGTGCATGTTGAGAAGCATGTGAAACTCTGAAGTGCACATGTAATAAAAAACTCCTTTCTTTGCAGCTCACCATTTTGGTGATTCTGCCATGCTGCAGCTCTCGGGTAATCTTGATGGCACCGAGCAGTTTGAGCCGCTCCTGGCAGACAAACACTTCCAGCTTCTGAAGGCGCTGCATACCGTACAGTTCAAACGTCGACCGACCGAACTTTGTCTGGTCTTCAAGCATCCTGTTTCTCTGCCCTGCACAGGATTTCCACAATGGCATTTCAGACACAGCTCAGACAACTGGAACTCGGTCAGTGCAACAGCCTTAAGGCAATTGTGCAGAAAAAAGTTCTTCCACATTTTCCTTTGCTTTCGGCATTTCCGATGGCAGGATTGAGTGGCATAAAAATGAATAACTTATATCTAAGGATCACTTAGTTTTTAACATATGAAAAACATAACAAGCAAATATAACATATTTTCTCGCATATAACCTATCACTGCACATATTAGGCTCCCCAAACTCTACAAAAAAAAAAAACTGCATATAACCCCAACGCACAGCCTACAACCACACCTTTAAAGCACATTTTTCCCTTCTCTGACCAGGCTTGTATACAAGAAAATATGTTATGCACACTGTTAATGCTCATTATATCGGCCAATGTTATAATGAACTAATATTTATTTATTCAACAAATGTCATTTTTCTTGAAATTCTAATACAAGCACAATCAGGAGCAAATGTGCTTATAGATTAATATTACAGACAGTACACAATTAAGGTTTAATGAACAGTTAGTGCCAGATAGGCTGAAATCATGTAGCGTGCCACTGCTACTACTTCCGCTGTTCAACAGTGTTCGAAGCTGTCAGCCTTATAAATGATTTTTTAAGTGGCACCGCTTAACTCACCAAGAACTTTTGACTCCTCCTGTTGGAGGGTGTGGGAATTGAGGCTAGCCCACTGCCTTTGCGCGGGCTTTGCCGCCTTTTCTGCTATTCTCATGTCCCGACTTGTCTCCTCTCCTCCGCTGTCTGCCTCGCTGGGAGAGCAGAGTGACGTTTAACCCCCTCACTCGGTAGCGGATGTTGATTGTGGCGTCGCACGCGGAGTCTCCCGAGAGGTTTTGCCGCGCTGAGTCGGGAGCGGGCAGAGACCTCTCTGGGGACGACATGGGGGTAAGCACGCGTTTCTTTTCCGTCCGTCAGCTCCCTGTGGGGCTCATTAGGACTTCGCCAACAGCGCCTTGCACCCGCGGCGAACGCTTACCCTATGTCGCCCCCCCTTCCGAATGCTAGGCCGAAGAGTGGTGCGGGTTCCTAGTGCGTGGCCAGGCTACGCCGACCCGTATCTCTCCGAAGACAATGCGAGCGCCTTTGCCCTCGCTCGAGCAACCGGGCCTTGGTCCCGGTGTCTCCGTGGATCATCTTTACCACGGAGACGTGCTCATGGCACCCTGTGTAGTACTTTTATGCCTGTGGCGTGGATAAGCATATTTGCTTTCCCGCCGCACCTTTGCAACGGCTGTACTGCGTTTGGTGTTGCCACAGACAATAAGGTGTTACGACTTTAAGCAGTATCGTGTTCTCACCACGGCTACGGTTAACGCGTGCCCTGCGGCTTGCTAGACCGGACCCACGCTAGTGGCCGTACTCCTTCGGGATACGTGTCACCACAAGGGCAATACTGGCTGAAAGGGCAAGCAACAACTAAAGTGTACAAATAGATATAACAAACCAACTTCAGCTACTTTTTCATGCTTGTTGTGGCATGGTCTCAATTGCTACTCAATCAAAGCATTAAGTGGGGATGTGGCAATAAAAACTGCTCTTGTTATCTATGCAGATGATCTGACAAAATTTGGCATGCAGATGTCATTTGTTAAGCTGATATAACTGAAACCAGTGTAGTTCTTTAGTTACAACACCTGTTATACTCTCATCATCATCCCGAAATTAATTAATTAGGGATGAGCTTATCAAAATTTTTCCATAAAAATATTCACAAGGGCCAATTCTGTGCTGTAATGCAAAACGTCTTTAGTTGGTTTACAGTAGACTCTCAGTAAACAGAAATCTGTTAAACAGAACCGCTGCCTCTGCAATGCTTGGTTTCGGGCTTGTATTCTGCACTTATATTCACCTCTCAGTAAACAGAACTCCTGTTAAATGGTACATATTTTCCCAGTCCCTTCAGGTTCCATTTACTAAGAGTCTACTGTATTTGGTTTATTTTTCAACAATTAAGTGAGCACACAAAAAGATTTTTTGAATGTCCTGGGCATATTGTCTCACTAACGCTTTTTAGGAAAAGCCAATTAAAATAAAAATCTGTATGATGTGCACACAAATATGGCCAGCTTCACAGCACTAAAATATGTCTCAGAATCTAAGTGCAGAAAATGGAATTGCTATATCTTCATTTGTTGCGAAATGGCACAGGGATGACTGACAGCAACTGCTCAAAAAATTAAAGCTGAGAAAACAAAGATAAAAAAATTGGAGCTTGAAGATAAGAAAAAGAACTCGGAAGGAAGCTGGCTTTATTTTTCATTGCCACGCAGCTCTGTAGCTATCTTAAGCTCCGATTTGTCCTCTTTATGATGATGCCAATATGGTGACACTGTGCCAAGGGAAGCTAGAGATTCGCATTTTCTAAAGCCCGATTTCTCACATACTTTCTGATGACAGTCTACCAGTAAAATGATTGTTTCCCAACTTCTTTTACTTATACTGGTCTAATAATTAACCCCAATGTAAAACATGGTATCAGAATCGGAGAAAAAAATTTATTGAAAAAAAAAAGGCAAATATTTTGACCAAGTTTGCCATTGACATAGCCACGTCCTCCCAACAACAAACAGTACACCTGCCTGATAAAATTGTATTATTTTTACCCATAAGCCAGCAGGCCACGTAAGCTATAGAAAGCATTCTGCGAAAAGACGAGAAATGAAGTGGACTAGCCAGACTAACTAAATATGACAGGTATGTCAAAAAACAAGGTCAGCTAGCGCTCCAGAAGGTGGATAAAGTTTAATGCTCATACAATGAGCAAGCCTTCGTGCACATCCTTTGCTGAACCCATACCTCATTTTGTTCCGATATTCACACAGCCTTATGCCCATTAGTGGCATGCAACAAAGTGCTTACATCATGTGCACAGAGGGTGTTGGAGATTTATCTCCAGATAAGGTTAGACCTTTGTGTTTTAACAATCTGCATTATGCACATTGTTGCACGTGATATCCATACCGGTTATCTCAAGATCTCAAGGTTCGTTTCCTGTTACACAAAAAGCCACTTTTCAAATGACAAAAAAAGTGACACATTGGAAGTTTTTTTACTAAAAAAAAGCAACATCGCAACTGGCTAATTACAATAAATGAGTCAGGATAACAAATCTATACATTACTGCATTTCAGCTCTGCCAAGCCTTGTGGAACTTAGCACAAACTTCGTGCATCTTTTTGTGTGTTTCTTTCTTTTGAGTACAAATTTTTACCCCCGAGATAAAAATATTATATGGTGTAACAAAGATATCACGAAAAAAAATTACTTGCGGGTTTACAAATAGCCCTGCACAATTATATGAGAGTGACTGCCATCATGTGTGGATGGCTGCTTTGCATTTCTTACACAGCATTTGGCATCACTGACACATGTTGAATGCACACACAAACTAATAGTAGCGTTAAATCCACAAATTAGCCCGAAGGAGTATTTACTGAGCAGCATAAAATCAGCTATATCACCTACACCTGAAATAAAGCATTCAGTCACTTTAGTGAAATGTCCTAAAAATCCCCTGACCTGAAACAAGATCGACGGTGCGCCGATAATACTCCTGGTAAAGGTGTTGCGTGGCCTCGTTGGCTGACTGCGCTCGAGTTTCCCACTCTTCGAGCTCCTTTGTTGCTTCGGCTCGCACACGCGGGCCGAGCCGCCCGTCGTCAGCCCGGAGGCGCAACGCACGGCTACGTTCAGCCGCTACCTCGCGAAGTTCCAGGAAGGGCCCTAACTGCAAGGTTAACTCGTTATGAGATGCAGCATGGCACACCAAGGGAAAACACCAAATGCTTACTTTGACACACAGATTGATTGAGACTTTTAAAATTGGATGACAAAGTCGAAGGGGTTACCAAGCTTGAAAAGAGCACAGACAGATTAAGAGGCCACCAGCATGTTCGTTTTTTCAAGCCAGTTTGTACTTTCAACGACTGTGTTTCATGAGTGCAACCCTTTGCCGTAAGCCACACTTTCATGTATAGGAATATTTTTTAATGTTATAGTTAATTCCATTCAGATGGCATGCAGAACCCCAGCTTCCATGGTGGTGTACATTCTAAAGCTCACGTGCACACCAGGAATTACACTTGTATGTTCAACAACACACACATGGCCTGCTCAGAAAGTATTAGGACTGATTTTTTCTCCGTAAAAATGTGGTGATGAGGGGATGTAGCTGCGCTGGTTGGGGGGGAAGGGGGCTCTTAGCTACCATTGCACCAATCGACAGTCATCTAGCATTCAAATAGTGTACATTGAGCTTAGGCAGTGCTGTACGAAATGGTGTTCTAAGGAACAACATTCCAGGAAATAGTTGGTTTTTAGAGGAACGAGAATTCCACCTTCCATTTAGGATTGGTGGAACTGCAACAATAATGCGTTACGTTTAAGAGAAAATGGCCTTCCTTCTGCAAACGTTCTACGGCATTCCACAGGGGCACGCACCAAGCAGCAAATCATTCAGAACAGGGTGAATTGCCCACCACATCAGGCACGAAAATGTACCGCTCGCCTGTCACACGACTGCCTTTCACTTCAAGGCGCCCGCCAAAGGAGCAGGGAAGCGCGCCGAGACTTATTGCGTGCGGAAGGGGCGGTCGAATTTTTACAGCAGAGCTGCTATGCAGTCAGTTGTCAAAAAAAAATTATCACTATCGTGAACTAGCACACACCCTTTTCACTTTCACTTTCAGAACACGTGCACCAATTTTTCTGCCGTAAAACACATTAACACTCATGGGCGAGAGAACGAGTAAATAGAGAGTGAAAGAAACAGATATAGAGCAAGAAAAAATTCTTGGTAAGGCGAGATTTGAAGCCACCTATCCATGATCTGAAGGCGAACGTCATAGCTATCCAGTTTTTTTGTTTTGTTTTGTTTTGTTTTTTGGCACGATGTTTATTCACTACAGGTATGACACTTTAAAATAATTCAGTACCAAGTGATATGTTCATTCTGCTCGTATTACGGTTCAACGACGAACACATCACACTAAAGAATTAGCACTAATCTGCACAGCAAATATCTCAAGTAACAGCCTTTTCCAATTTTACACTAGAACGGCACCAATGGCATACACTGTAAGTACCTCATTGACGCGAATACCATGTTGGCTGACTTCCCATTTTCTCGTATATATCTTAATGAGGTGGAATATTGAGAAAGTTACTGGATATGTGTTTCTCTGGAACATGTGCAAACGGTTGCAGAGCATAGCATAGCTTTGTACAGTAGAGTATAGTGGGGGAGGGCAGTCAGGGTGAGGAAAAAAATGAGTTGAGGAGAACGATTATAAAAATAAACAGAGACAAAGAGAAAGAAAGGAATGGAAAGGGGGAAACAGGGTGAAAAGAAAGAAATAGAGAAAAAAGAATGCCGGGGAACGACTACAGTGAGAGAGATAAAAAGGATGTATAAAGAAAGAAAAATAAATAGAAATAATTGGAAGAATGAGAAGATAGAAAGAAGGAGAGAGAAATACAGAGAACTATGTTGGCCGACTGCAAAAAGGGGTTTTCACTAAGTAGCAAATATGTACCCTAGACATTATTTTCTACTCACATCGACAATAATGAAACAGTACTCAATACTGAAACAGCACGGTTTGATCAGCGAAACATTTAATTATATTGGTGCATGTGTGGCGATTTGTATTTGAATTTCTGAAAAACAGTATCCAGACTGCACCTTGGAAGACCGACTTGGAAAGTGACACATCAAGAAATGTGCAGGACTTGAAATTGACGTGAATGAAGGCTGCAGTTAGACAAGCCTGTAGTAGGGCCTGTGGCCGCAAATTAAATTTGTCTCGGGGCTGTAACCTGCTCTCGGCGATGTCAAATTCATATACGTGGCTCGATGCGAGCTTTGAATTGCTCACTTTATACCACTTCAGGACTATCCTACAGTATATTTTTACTAAAAAGTCAAATGTAACATTAATGGAAAGATCCGTTCCAATTTTCGAAATGTACGTGCAACGAGTTCCTTTTGCATTTGGGAAACTTGTAATGGAAACTCGTTCCAAAATTGCGAAGGAATGAGGAAAGGCCTTTTGTTCCGGTTTTAAAGGAGCGTGTGCAACACTAAGCTTAAGATGAACCTCTTTTATGGTGCCTTGTCATCTCGACAATCTATCTTTTATTACATCAGCATTGCATGGTGAAGTTCTGTATCAAAGAACTGGGAGTGAAAACCATGAAATGATCAAGAGTGCTTATGGTAGTGATGCTATGGGCCAATCAAGTGTTTTTGAGTGGACAAATTGTTTCACAATGGAAGAAAGCAAGCTGAAGATGAGCAACGGTGAGTACACCATTTAACGGCAAAAAGTCACAACGCACTATGCCACATCACATCTGCTGTCGTGGAGCTCCTGACCAGACACAGCACCCCAGAGCTTCCTCAGCCACACTACAGCCCAGCTGTCACTACTTCTAACGTCTTCTTCCCCAACTGAAGACGGCACTCAAAGAATGGTAACAAAGCTCGGCCCAGGCCTTTCAAGAGCTTGTAACAAGGGAGCTAAATCGCCTTCTAGCCTCTGCGTTCCAGGAAGCCTTCAGTGATTGACAGAATTACTAATAATGCTGTAAGTCCAAACTAGTAACTCGATGTGCCTCAATTGTCCCTAAATTTTTACAAAAAAATTCAGTCCTGCTGCTTTTCAAGCGAACCCTGCACGCAAAAAGTAGACATGTGCCTATAGATCATAATTTAACAATTTATTGCACTCATTAGCATTGCTAATCTGCAAGTTTGGTTTGTTTTGCTGGGCCCAATAAGGAGTTTGTTTCGTAACTTAAGATCCAGGTTGCAAAGTTCTTTACTCTTACAGCATGACAACATACTTAAGAAATGATGATCCGGACAATAAGCAGCAATGTCACTGTTAAGATAGATCTCGTACCAATACTCCCGGTAATGCATTATCCTCAATTCTATTCTAGCCTTATCACCTGTTACTCACAACAGGCCAATCCAATAGATAATGTCAGTAGACCATTGCTCTGACTTCAGCCATAGTGCAAAAATAAGAAAAGGTATTAGCATCAGAAAAGGCACTGCTATGAAATACCAGTTCAGGCACGCTATCTATCAAAATAAAGCTAATCACTGCAATGTATGTATGAAGTTGTGTGTGTGAACAATAAGGACTGATAGATGTGTAAAAGCCTCTGGTAATTAAGATGACTGTCCCCAAATCAAAATGATTCCTAAAGCAACATCATCAATGATACATAAAGAGCTTAACTGTGAGAGCCAATTATGAAAGATAAAGGAGGCGGCGTTCACCTAAAAGCAGTTCTTGCACACAAACTGTGCATATCCATGAAGACATATCCATGAAGACATATCCATGAAGAATTAGGTTTAACCATAAATGCAAGGACAATTATCACAGTATTGTAGGAAGGCCCTATTATAGATTTGTCTAAATTAAATGCATTGTTATGTTTGCTTTCAAAAGAAAAATAGAAAAATAAAGAGCGATATGTGCCCTATCATCAAAAAAAGAAACAGGCGAACAAGCAGTACAGTAACAGTAACACACAAACAGTGCAAGGTCACGTACAAGCTGCAATATTACACTTGCCTGGAAATTGTAGAGCTCAGCCAAAGCAATGGAAATGTTGACCACCACTTGGTCCTCAAGTGCATACACAGTTGACAGGTTCAACATAGTCTCAGAGAGTGAACGGAGGGAAAGTATCTCATTCAGTTCATCATAGGCACGCTCCAGGGTACGCTTCAGGCCACGCAGTTTCAGCTCCTGCGTGCACATCAGCAACAAATGCACACCTTTGCTCTGGCTTGTGTAGATGCTTTGTGAATACGTCAGCAGATCAAACCACTCCTTCCTTGCCCCCCCCCCCCCCCCCTCTTGTGCCTACTGACAAGGCAGTATGACCACCACGTCTGAACACCACTTATGTTTTAGTTGGCACATGAGCATTAGTTAACGAGAGCTTTACATTTCATCCTTGATGGATGAAATCTCTCCAGGAGCTAACAGTGACGGCATGCAGCGTCAGCTGCTTAAAAATGGCGAGCTACATGTTCCATCCGAACTGACTGTGCAAACTGTGGGTGAAGCCCACCAAATAAATTTCTTTCTGTGATCAATATTTGGAAGCTTATTTGTGAAATGTTAATGCCATCATTATGCTACATGTCTAAAATAAAATTCAGCTGCTAATTAAAGCTACTTTTGTATGTGACTCAAGAAGGGGCCTCACCACAATGCCCCTCATCCAGCTGTAACTTATGCTTCTGCTATGTGCCTACAAGTTGCCACTTGTCACCTAGAATAGTAAGCCAGGTGACAAACTAGACATCTTCGAGTATATCATTTAAAAGGTTCTATCAGTGTAGTCTTCTACTAACATATTTCATGAAAAGCAACTTCATATTTCCATTACTTTGAGCAAATAAATGAACTTTTTAACAATAACCCTTTATTTTGAGACGAGTACAGTCTCTGAGCTCTTTATTGATTTTAGTCCACTTAACGGACCCCAAGTGTGGCATCACAAACTCCGTAAGGCTTTGAACTTTAGTGAAATACCTCAGAGAATTCCATAAGAACGGCTGCTGAAGATGTGCACCTCTAGTATGGTGCACTGGTGTAACGGCCATATCTCTCTGCCCTCAAAGATCATGTGCAAGAATAGCCGCAGTGTATCGCTGATGAGAAGTAGTCAAAAAACAAAAAGTGGTCCTGACATCCATAAATGTGCGCAAGGTTCTCCTTTAGGGGGGGGGGGAAAGTTTGTTGCACCACCCACCCTCCCTATGATGTCAATGCATGGGGCAAACCTCCCACCACCCCATAGGTGGCTGGGAGGTGTGGCTCCTCCCCCCTTGCTCCATCCACTGTGCCAACGCCTATGCTAACATCCACCTTGAGTCAAGGTGGAAGGTCAAGATAATAAACTTTTAGAATACAGGAGCACAGCTTCTGCCCCTCACAAACATTCTCTTACCTGAATGTCTTCTTCATAGTCAGTCAAGTAGTCTTCTTCACCAAACAAGAGAGAAAAGAGCAGCCTTTTCCCTGTCGCGTCGAGTGCTTGCTTAAAATAGTGCTCCAGCTCCCTGCACACTTTGGCTTCCACGGAGGAGTCCAGCCTTTCGCGAACGCCATTTTTCTTTGAGAAAAACCACAAGAAGTTCCAAGAATCTTTTGTCTGCGAGTCACTGAGTGGGAAAGAGTTCTCAAGTGTGGGGCACATAAGCACAAGCTGCTTGTGAATGTCGTGCAGGGCATCCGAAAAAAGCAGAGCAGCACGTGCGGCACATGTGTCCCTATCACACGCATGACGCTCACCCTCGGAGTAGCTGATTGCAAACTGACACTCTACATGGTTGAAAGCGACAATAAATCGTGATGAGCCATGGCTGGGAACATCCGCAGGTTCAAAGAGGTTCTCCCGAATAGCCACCCATCCGTCAAGGCTGTCTTGGCGCTCTTCCATGGTCCTGCATTCACCAGATAAGTGCACTTTATGTGAGAAGCAATCCTACAGGAGATTTCAATTACGTGTAATGTGCAACAGCATAGTTGGCATCACAGACACACTCCTGGTTTCAATGTGCACATTAAAGGACTGGTGCACTGACTGATCTATTTTCTTTAAGTAAGTCAAATAATCATTAGAGCTAAACCTGAAGACACCATTAAAGGTCCCCTTTTGATCCCCTAGCATTATTTATTTAATATTTAACAGTGCTGATCCACACGCGATTCTGAATCACACACCAATCTACTGAGGTCACCACAAAGCACGAAACCACATGATAAATAGTTTTGAATTCCTAGATTCTTTTCTCTCTTGCTGTTCTGGCTCCAGCAAGCTAGTACTCATGGAATATGGGCCGTGTCATGCGTGATAAACTCACGAAATTCTCACGGATGGAAACACCAAAGCTTAGGTCCGAGTAATGCAGGTGCTTCCATTTTTGGCTCTTAGAATTCATGCCATGACAGTGTAATTTTAAGTGAAACACCTAAATCTGAGCCAACATAATCCCTTACGGCAGATTTGTAGCTACATGATACAGTTATCTCTAGCCATTCTTAGTGGTCTTTATACTAAACAAATTATGTTACATTTCAATCTATGAGGACTGTCATTCCCTCATAGCTGCCTTATTAATATGCGAATTGCAGCACATGATATACATGTTACAAGCAAAATGATAATGAATGCACACAAAAGATAATAGTCATGGCATGATTACTTTACTTTTATATACTTCCCCAACAATGTTGAAATGTTTTTTTACTTAAAGTAGCTAAGAATACCGTATTTCTCATGGTGTAATACTTTATTAAAAAGTTTAATGTAACAAATTTTCGAAGCTTGTCAATTAGAAAATTACGTATAGTTACAGTGAACACAGACAAATTGCTCGGTTATTGAACACGACCTCTGTCTATCATCATTCGCTCATTCTCTGTCCACTGCAGGACAGATGCTTGTCGGTGATTTGATTCGCAAAGAAACATATCCAAGTCATTTTAACAAGCGCCAGGACTTGCTGCAGGCATACACTGAAGGCGCCTCGAGGCGTTTGCAGTACATATCTCTCTATTCACAATCATTAGCGATTTATAACACGTGAAAACGAAAGCACACGCAGTAAACACCGACAATGCGACACTTCTTTCTTTTTAATCTTTCGTCGCTCATTTTGAATAGCCGCGACGAGGCCGAGAGGTTGTCCACTCTCTCTGCGTCAACATCGAAGTACGGCAAGAGTGGCGCGTAGCGCACTTTGGGCGATACGTAAACAGCTGATGTCTAATCCAGCTGATGTCTAGCTCTGCCAAGAGCATGCTTCGCGCTCGTCACGTGCCGTCACCGCTTGCCTATGTGGGTCACTGTCCGTTCCACGCGCGGTGCTCACAAACTGCTGCCGTAGCTCTCCCAGTGCCGGCAGGTTTCATCCTCGCTGTCTATCTCGTTCGCGGCGGCGCGTCACGAATGCAGCGTCCCAACGAAAAATAATAGAAAGAAGGAGATCAAAAGTGCGACGGGTAAAAAACGAAGCCAACGTGCACGGCTAGATGACCCCGCGAGCCCGCTCCAAAAAAACCAGTTCTAATATTTGAGAACTTCCTTCACGGTTTCCCACTTTTGTGTGTTTGTGCTTCCCAGTGGATTCGGTTCTTTTCGGATCAGTGACGATCGCGCCAGGTTTGCACGCGCTAAAAGCTAAACTCCCTTACCGTGCAATCCTCAAATTGAGGTCGAGAAAAAAAAATACCTAGCTTCAGTTTGTTAAACTTGACTGCTGCTGATGAAACACACAAGCAATGTCAGAGATTACACGAAACTGTCTTTCTTACGACGCGAATGCTACATAGATACGCCTGCGCGGCTCTTCAGACCAACTTTTACAGCTTCCATTAATCATCTGACGAAGAGAAACCAATTGTTGCGACTGTTTTTATCTTAGCGACAGTCGCTTAGTGGCACATGCATTTAGAGATAACCACAGCCCACGCTGATTACACGCCTACTTTATAATAAGCACGAAGCGCAACCAGAATGAATGCAATATCGATTCATTAAACAAAGCCTAGTCATAAAAGTTTCACGGTGAAAGGCAAAGTTAATAAGCCAAACTTACATTGACGTAAGTCTCCTGCTTCAAGAGTTGCAGGCGCTGGCGAGTGAAAACTTTTTGCGCAGCATAGCACTTCTTTCAACAAGAACACAGTCACTTTACAGAGTTTCCGCTGTCCAATAGCATGTGCGCGACACGTTGGATTGTTCGCTCGGGCCTTTGGTTAAGAAGCAACACAACTTTTTTTTCACACTGACCAACACTGCCAAGCTAATGTTTGCGGTGTTGTTTCGATCATCTGGAAGTTAAAGTTCACATTCTCATACTAGGCCTCATCCAACCTGAGTTTCTTTTTTGTAGAGGGCGCTGTAAGTTGTACGCAATGTTGTTATCAAATTTTGAAAAATCTAAAAATTAAAACATCAAAAATTACAAACTAAGTTATTTCAAGAATGAATCTATTGCTTTAAAGTTTACATTTTTTTGCTTTAGGTTGTCATTTATTAAAGAAACTTTTGTTTTTGGGCTCGCATTGTGCAAGTTTTTAGTGGTGTTTGGCGTGTTTGGCATAGTTTTTAAATTCACCGCACAAAAAAAAACATCATTCCTTGATCAGCTCGCACTCTTCTGAATAGATGACCGGCAAAATGGGCAATCGCAGGGAACTGTGGGATACGGTGGCTTCCGGTTCGACGCACCGCACGAGTCAACAGCAGCACGCGCTCATTTTTGCACTGCTCCGTTGAAATAAGCACCTCGCCGTGCAATGTCAGTGCTTTCTTTATTTATTTTTCCAACCGTGACTGTGACGATGACAAGCTACGAAAGCCATGAATGGTCCAGAAACTTTTTTGTCGCACTAAAATGATCTGCAATGATTTTATGCTGATCAGGGGTGCTGTCAGTTTGGCTAGCAGATCAGTCGATACACAAAACAGTTTTTTCTGGTATGATACGGTACTGCAGATAAAAAGTCACCATTTTAAAGACTTCAGGGGATGGGGATGACTGTAGCATTGTGCTAAGAGTTCATTTCAGGATCGCTGCTTCGGCTGACATCGTCAGTCGATCGGCATGAAGCGCAAACTTATTGAGCGCGTTGAGATATTTTTTTTTTTTTCTAGCCGTTAGTGCGCTATAAGATGCATTTCTTAGTCGAAGTCAGATGCAAGCTGCACGGCACGGTGGCACATAAACAATACAGTCAGATATATACGGCACCAAGTAATCGAAATCCTACGCTTGTTTAACGAACTTCTTCCTTTGTGTGCCGTCCTGGCGCACAGTTTGACCAAGATAAACGCAAATGAACTCGTCCAGCGCTTCGTGTAAACTTACTCTTGAGTGGAGCTTTCGCGTTTTTTTTTTTTTGTCATATATATAGGTGCAATGGCCGGTGCTAATCTCGTATGGCAGGTAGATTTCGCCCGCTCGTTCCCATAATATCTTTGCTAGGCGCGCCTGCGCGACAATTTATTTCTTAATATAATATTCGCAGCAAATTCATGCGTAAGCTTTTTTTAGTGTGGAATACACACACACCTGTGATAAAATGGTTTTCGCACACTCTAGCTTCAAATTTCCCTACTCAAAGGCTACCTGTCGCTGTGGCTCTCTTCACAGTCACGGCCCACCTCGTTTTTGTCTTAATTACATGGCAATTGATACCTGCGTTTGCCTTGCACGCTTGAGTTGGAGCAGCCAACGGCTGAACAAACGACCATGGTTTATCAGGACGAAGATAAACGGGTGACCAAACGCGCGAATTCCGAATAATCTGAGGCTTGCGGCAAAGCGGTTTGCCGTCGTCTACTCTTCTCGAACCGGAAGCCGGTAGCAGACGGTGCATCCCACAATTCCTCGCTCTTTTACTGGACACCTATTGGTTCTAACGCCTGCCGGGAATGTTTTCCGTGAAATCCTTGAAAGAGACTCGCCGATCTTTTATTGGTACAATGTCATATCCAAGGTCTAATCCGGTCTGTTTATTATTCGCTGATAAATATAATTTAAAAATGCATCAGTGCGTGTAAACAGTACCTGAATAAAATCTAATGTTTATGGAAACCACGTTGCAACTTGCAAGGCCATAAAAACAAACAATCAAAAGGGCTCAAATTCGATGGGAAGTCGTGTTCAATCATGGGCTGTGGCGCCAGTGTTATGATGATCAACGCCAGCGCCACAGCCCATGATCGAACACGACTTCCCGTCGAATTTACATTTTGCTTTACAGAAGTCATTGATTCAGACGGCGTCACGCAAGCAACTCCCGGCATGCCGAAGCGATTCGTGTGACTGCTGCCACGTACTCCATTTCGGATGGTCATTCATCATGTGGCTTGGGAGAAAGACAAAAAAAAAGAGATGGAGAGAGAGCAAATGGGAGCATGGCGACAGACAGTTGATTTTCGCAAGTAGATAGCTATATATAGTAGCGATATGAGAGAGAGAAAACATTTATTGAAAGAAGCTTGTGAGTGAAGGTGGGAGGGTCCCTTATTCCAGGAACCCTCTGGCTTGGACAGCCCGCCGAGCTCGAGCGACGAGTTGACGCTGCTCGACCAGGTCCGGCTGGGAGATCGCAGCCTTCCACGCTTCACTGAGGAGGTCTTGGTCCGCATCTGGGGCTGCTGCTCGTAGTCTTGGGACGCTTACTTTGCACTGCAGTAGGAGGTGCGCCAGAGTGTCTGCCACATTGCAGTGAGGGCAGATGTAGCTGTGCAACGTTGGCCTCATATGGTGCAATAATACGCCGTGTGTGAACGTGTTGCTTTGAAGACGCCTATAGTCAGTCCCTTCGTCTCTTGTGAGTTTTGGATGTGGCGGGGGGTATAACCTGCGTTCTAGCCGATAATGTTGCAATAATGCATGGTACGTTAGTGGTGTGGCTTCTCTTGTCTCTGATTCTGTTGTTGAGTGGGAGGTGCCTCGGATCTTGTATGGGAATGCCCGGTTGACGCATTCGCGGGCTGCGGTGTGTGCCGCTTCATTTCCCTCGAGACCTTCATGACCCGGAATCCACACGATGCATGTGTAGGGAGGAGGATTGTCCATGCGCTTTAGTAGCCTAATCGCCACCGTGGAGACCCTGCCTTTCAGGTAGTTCCGTGCCGCTGTTTGTGAGTCGGTAAAGACCACGATGGGATCCTCACTCGTCTGGGTGGCGAGTGCTATAGCAGCCTCTTCAGCTGTTTCCGCACGTTTGGCGAGGATAGTCGCCGATGCCAGTACTGCGCCCTTGCAATCTACGACGGTAATCGCGAAGGCATTACGTCTCGGATATTTGGCTGCGTCCACGTATCGCGCCTGCGGGTCATTGCCATGTTTTTTCCGGATCATATTAACCCTGGCGAGCCGCCTTTCTCGGTGATGTTGAGGATGCATGTTCCGAGGGATCTGCTGAATTTCAAGGCTTTCTCGCAGCTGTGACGGTATTTTGCCTTTGCGTTCTTCGTTGGGTTCTAGAGTGGTCTGGTATCCTGTGCGTCGAAGCACGGCTTGCCCTGTGAGTGACAGCTTGAGTCTCTCGACCTGGTTGATGAGGTGTGCTTCGGTGAGTTCTTCCCACGTATTATGAACTCCCATGCGAAGCAGTCGGTCAGTGGAGGCGGCTGGCGGCAGTCCTAGGGCAAGCTTTGTAGCCTTTCGTATCAGCAGTTTAAGTTTTTGTTTCTCCGCTGTCTTCAGGTTGAGGTAGGGAGTTCCGTACGTTATGCGGCTGTAAAGGAGTAGCGATATGAGGAGAGAAAATTTCAGGCACGCACTTCTGCGACCTACGAGGAAGCGCGTCGCAGCGTCGTTGTGACGTGGCAGGGAAAGATAATCGAAAGTAGAGAGAGAGAGATGAAAGGAGAAGTCAATAGTGCCAGACCCAGGATGGCACTACTTTCCATATTCAAACAACCAGTGGGTGCCCGGCGGCACTAGGCGATTAGGCCAACATATACAGACATCCTAACACATTGCTAACAGAATTAAGTCAACATCAGAATTCAGTCAACCAAAGGATCAAGCAGGATTTCGTATAGGCTGCTCAACAATCGACCACATTCATACCATCAGTCAGGTGATAGAGAAGGGCTCAGAATACACCCAGCCACTATACATAGCCTTCACAGATTACGAGAAGGCGTTTGATACAGTAGAGATATAAGCGCTCATGCAGACATTGCGGAATCAGGCCGTCGACGAAGCATATATAAACATCATTGAAGAAATCTACAGAAGATCAACTGCTACCACAGTGCTTCATAAAGAAAGCAACAGAATACCAATCAAGAAGGGTGTAAGGCAGGGGGATACAATCTCCCCGATTCTATTTAACGCGTGCTTACAGGAGGCTTTCAGGACCCTAGATATGGAAGAGTTATATACAATGAACTCGGGGTGGTTAAAGGTGGGACGTAAACCCGAAGCGCAAGCCGTAAGAAAGTGTGCATGTGCCACCTCCCGTTTAGTCCTTGAAATGTCCGCTGGATGGCGGTGCTTCTATATGGAGAATATATGATGAAAAGATGCGAGATGGTGGTACTTGGAGTGCTGAATAGATGGACGAGTGGACACACAGACAGATGCATGGATGGACGCATGAACGGACGCAGGCGCGGATGCATGGACGAACGCAGGGACGGACGCACAAACAGACGCACGCACGGACGGGTGGATGGACGCATGGACGGTTACACAGACGTACGCAGGAACGGACGGAAGCAAGAACGAATGGACGGACGAATGCTTCGCCCCACTCTCCATCATTCACTCCGTGGATATGCTGTCATTTTTTTTTCTAATTCCGACGCAGACTTAACAATGAATGCAACCACAGTTGTTCGGAAACATAGAAAGCATAGCGTTGTTCAAAATACAAGTTTGCTCATTTGCCATGACAACTTTGGGAGACGGCGGCTGGTCTGACTCGCGCGGAAACTCACTCAGATTGCCACGTATTAAACACGTTAACAGGGTCACTTACTTCACTCTATAAATATATTCATGCGTTTTGAGGTTTTTTTTTTGCTTTGGAACTTTATTTTCTTTTTGTTTACTGTAGTCGGGGATCATGTGTAGTACATACAAAGAGGCTTTTCTTTCCCCCTTTTCAACACCGTGTGCTCTTAAGTTTCGCGCCAAAATTCTCAAGGCGCCACTCTGGCTCCCTCTTCTAACGAGTCGGTGAACCAAATTATTGCCTGGCCTCCCACTGCTCGTCAGGTAGCAGCAGCCTCTCTTAGTTAGTAACCGGACGGTGCAGATGGTATTATAAAAGATACTAGCAAAGGGTAAAATACTAC